GAGCTAAATGGGTAGCAGAGAGCAGGGGCGGGGAGGATACGAGGGGACCAGTAGAGCTCGTGGCTTTATGAATGAAGCCAATATGAGTCTGTGGCCAATCTGGGAGGTAAACAGCCAGAGGCAAGGGTGAATGGACTCTCCAGGGAGAGCATGCTTTCCAGTCAAAGTTCAGGTAAATAAACAAAATGCATTGGTTTTATGTTTCTATTTCTTTCCAGGATACACCAGTTCAAGGATAAGAGATACCTGAGCTTTCACTGCTCTAAAACACCATGAGGAAACTGAGTAAAGACAGGTTGACCATCTTAAAATGACAGAGGTCACCAGTGGGAATCATGGGTGCCTTTTTCCTTGCTCCAGAGGCAGAACGGGGGCTCAGGTTGATTTCCAGGGAGGTTATCTCCCTCAGCAGAAGGCTGCGCTTTCTAAAGACTGACACTGCCATTGGTGAGAGTGCCCGAGAGACAGTGGACACAGACCCTAGAAGATTCTGTGCTGAGTAGGAAACTGGGGTTGGCATTGCCCCTCCAAGAGTCAGGTACTGCCAATGTGACAGGATAAAGAAGGGAGGGGGCTGAAGAGATGACTGGGCCATAGGGGCTCTTTCTTTGTGAATGGAATTAAGATTCTTAAGAAAGAGGCTCCAAGGTTGGGTACAGTGGCTCACACCTATAATCTCAGCTACTCTGAAGACAAAGATTGAAGTTTGAGGCCATTCTGGGCAAAAAGATAGCAAGATCCCCATCTCAACCAACAATCTAAGTGTAGTGATGCCCATATGCTGTGTGGGAAGCGTAGGTAGGAGGATCAAGGTCGGAGGCTGGGTAAAAACATAAGACCCTATCCAAAAAATAACTAAAAGCAAAAAAGGGCTTAGAGAGCAGCTCAAGTAGTAGAGTGCCTGCTTAGTAAGCATAAGGCCCTGAGTTCAAATCCAGTACAAGGAAGGAGGGAATGAAGGGAGGGAGGGAAAGAGGGAGGGAGGAAGAGAAAGATGAAAGAGGGAGGAAGGGAAAAGGAAGCTTCCATGCAGTAGTCACTCTCTTGCCCTTCTGCCTTCTGCCATGTGAAGACAGGTGTTCCTCTCCTCTGGAGGACACAGCAACATGGAACCATCTCAGAAACAGAGAGTAGCCTTCACTAGACACTGAACCTGCTGGCACCTTGATCTTAGACTTCCAGCTGCCATAACCATGAGAAATAGCTTTCTATTCTCTACAAATTACCCAGTCTCATAGATTTTGTTACAGAAGTACAAATGAACTCAGAGAATAGGGGAGCAGGCCAGGTACCTCTAGAACATTCCAACCCTGAGGCTCTATGGCTTTGAGCCAGAATATAGTTGAGAGTGACCCAACAGTATTTCAGAACTATTCCTTGAAAATATAAGCCATCTAAACTACCAAAGTGGAACACTGTTCTAGAAGGTACCTACCCCTACCCCATCCTTGAGGGAATGCTGGGCCTGGGGTCTTCATATGAGCATCTGGGACAGGGATGAAGAAGGCATGGCCTTGATCATCTGACCTACTAAATTTAGCCAAGTGACCAGCAACTCTTGTGGATGAGGGAAGTACTGAGTACATTCCTAACAAAAGCCCCCAGGAGATGGGACAGCCATGCCTTTCCTCTCCACCCTCCCTCATATGAGCAGCAGCTATCTTGCCCTATGGAAGGTATGTCTATCCCTCCCCTCTGGAGAACATCGCCCTAAGATAGCTCCTCTCTCCACTCTGAGGAAGCAGGACTCCTAGTGGCTAAGCAACCAAACCTAGACCAGGGGAACTTAGGACTCTTAATTAACAGATGAGAAAACTGAGGCCAAGACTACAAAGCAAAGTGATGGTATAACTAGTTTCGGAGACCAGATGTCTTGAATCCAGCACCTTTCATTCAAAAACGTGGCTACAAACACCTGCTCTTTGTCAGAAAGTGGCTCCCTGGAAACGTAAAGGGTAATGATGTCATTGTCCCTAAGGTGGGGGAAGGAGATGCTAAATAGAAAACTACAATATAGCCAGGTGAGTATATAGGAGGAACAAGCCCTCTCTCCTGATGGCTGCCTGGCTCCATTCCCATCCTCTTTTGGCAGAAGACAGGAGGCGGTGCTGCCAGGTGCAGAGAGAGCATGAATAGAAAGGCATGGTGAACTTCCCTCAGATAAGGGGCTGGGTCACGAGAGCCAAGAATGTAGGCAGAGACAAGCCAGAACTAGGAGGAAGCCAGACACTTGCCAGTACTGGGCAGTTGTGACATTGGTCATTTGGTCAGCTCAACTGGAACGTTGCAAGGCCCAGTTAGAAGCGGTGGGACAGATTGATAGGAAAGAGACCAAAGTTTCCATTTCATGGAATCCCACTGTACCCTACATTCTCTCCAATCCCCTTAAGAATTCAGCAAAGTGACCATTGTGACTCTGTGCTAGTTACTTCTGACTAGTTGCGACCAAAATACTTGAGAGAAACAACTTAAGGGAGGAAAGGTTTATCTTAGCTCATGGTTTCAGGGGTCAATGCATTACGGCAGGGAGGGTGTGGTGGAGCACATCATGGTGGCCACAAAACAGAGAAAGGGAATACAGGAAGAGGCCAGGGCAAGTCCCCAAAGGCACATTTCCAGTCACCTACTTCTCCAATTAAGCCCCACCTCCTACTTTTTACCACCTCCCAATAATGACATCATCTTATGAATCTATCAAGAGATTCATCCATTAGGTCACTGGAAATGCCTAGAGCTTCAAGGTGTTGCTCAAGTGGTAAAGATCTTGCCTAGTAAGCTTGAGGCCCTGAGTTCAAAACCCATGTACCTCAAAAAAAAAAAGAAAGAAAGAAAGAAAGAAATATCCTCACAGACACATCTAAAGGTGTGCTCTAATAATTTCCTAGATTTGCAATCCAGCAATCCAGTCAAACTGACAATCGAGATTAATTATCATAGATTCCCATACTTCAAGTAGCAAAACTGAAGCCCAGAGAGGCTGCTACCAGCCCAAGGCCATCAAGAGTAAAGTATTAAGTTGGAATTCAAAGTCACTGATTTGAGCTGGAGATAAAGCTCAGTGGTAGGGTACTGAACTGACATATGCAAGGCCCTGGGTTCGACCTCACTGCAAAACAAAAGCAAAAAAAAAAAAAAGCAAACAATCAAAGCCTTGGTTTCACTTTGTTTCTCCAAACTGTGAATGTTGGGCTAAAATAAGTGAGCCAAAGAGCATCAGCTACTGTCCATGGTAAGGGCTGAAACAGATTGGCCGTGAGCTGAGGATGGGACACAAAGGTGTTCAGCTATGTGATGGCCTGCCAGCAACATGGCCCTGCCACCAGGCCAGAGCTCAGGTCACTCTGCAGCTGGGTTGGATCAGTTCTGAGGACTTCAGGCCCTGGAGCAGGAACAAGGACTCCAGGAGATTCAGAAGGAGACACCTGACTCTACCCCTCGGGATGCCTGGAGCACAAAGAGGAAGTAGTCAGTATGGAACTGAGGCTGGGAACTGCTCCTCTTCTTCCCCTCCCTAGAACCTGGAGCTTGGATTGAACAGGGTTTTGTGATTCTCTTTGGCCTCTGTGATACCTTCCCACACAGGTCAGGGTGATAGCTAGCAATAGAGCCTACAGATGAGAACTCCCAGGCCACCTGGGACCACAGCTGGTTGTGGGTGGAGTGGATCCCAGCCTGGAACCTAGACGGGTGACTCCTGTCCCGACTTGTTCCTCAACATGTTCCTTCTTGCCTGTACTCCTGGCTCTTGTCTGGGGTCCACTGAACAATAATCTGGATTAAAGTTTACCCGCTTCATCCAGTTTGGACTCCATGAAGGAAACTGCCCCGTGACATCTGGACTCAGCCCTCAGAGTATAGCCTCAGTCCAAGCACCTGAGACTGCAAAGTCTGGAAAGTCAGCCTTTAGATTAGTGTCCTCTGGTCACTGGCAGACTGGATCTCTGCTAAGGTAGCTCAGATTCAAAGCCTCTATATTTCATCCAGCTGCAGCAACCCCAAAACTCAACCAGAGCAGAACCCCTCCCTCTTTCAGACCATGAAGCATCCACGTCACATCCATGCTAAGCACTGCCCCAAAGATGTTGAGGAACAAAAGGGCCTGGATTTCCCTAGAGTTATTTAATTGTATTTTACAGAGCACTCTAACTTACATTCCATGTTCCATAATTATAAGAGCCCAGCAAAGTTGAAACAAAGCCTGCATGTTCCAGATGAGAAGACTGAGACCCAGCAAGATCACAGGACCAACCAAAGACACACCAAAAGAAGAAGTCATGGCCGAGACTCAACTGCAGTTTTTCTGAGTGCTGGTCTTCGTCAGTCTCTTGCCTGTTGCCCAGATGTGAATCTAACTATGCTCCTTTGGCCAAGGCTTGGAGAGTGTCCAGATTCACAGTAACATGAGAAAAAACATCTGGAGAGTTTGGACTACCCAGGCCCACAGTGAGCAGATCAGCCTGCGGTGCCAGGTGATGGGTACTCACTGTCACAAGAGGATGCCTCAGGTCTGGTCACTCCAATGTGACCCTCCCAGCTCAGGTCAAACCATCTTCCCTATGTCAGGCAAACTGGAAGGGCACCCAGAGGACTTGGCAATGTTTCCCTGGATGCCGAGTCACTCCTGGGCAACATGAAACAGAAACCTCATCAACATCACGCTTCTACTCTATCCCAAAAATGGCAGGTCCTGGTCTGGTATCCACAGTAGGGAGAGTCCACACATTTAGAACATAGGTGTTTGCTATGGTATGTGTATGTGTGCGTGCACACGTGTGTGCAGGGCAAAAATGGCCCCAATCGTGAAGCCATGTGAGAGCCCTCCCAGATGAAGATAATGTCTCAGCTGTTCCAAAGTCACACAGGGCTACCGCACAATGCCCTCCCAAGGGGAAGCTAGCATCCTGTAAAACCACCCAGGTAACTGGGTTTGAGGTGTGAATAGGCTCACCCAGAGCAAGGCAGAGGGCCACTGCATAAAGGCAGGGAATGGGGGAACCTACCTGCACTTCCCGTGTGTGATAGGCGATGATCAAACCCAGCAGGATGATGGTGGATAGACTGATAAGGCATTTCAGGGCCAACGAAAACATGGAATCCTGCAGGAGAAATGGAGAGAGAGTTAGGGAGGGCCAGGGAAAGGGGTGGTGTAAAGGGAGAAGTGGGGACACACAGGGACCGCCACTAACCCCTGCTGGAAGCAGGATGGAGCCCAAAGTTAGCCTGAAATTTGGACTGTGCCTGGGCTGGCTCTGTCTCCTCAGCTGCCCTCTGATCCTTTGCTTTCGAGGGTTACATCATATTTGCATTCTCAAGATGAACCCTACTTGGGCATGATGTATTATGTTTGTTATACATGGCTAGATTCAGTTTGTTGATGTGTTATTTAGAATTTTTGTCTCCATGCTCATAAGTCATGTGAACATAATTCTTTTTTGTGCAGCTATTATATGGTTTGGGCATCTATATCATGCCAGCTTGGGTCTTTGTTTTTCTTTTAACAAGCCCGAACCAGAGGATTCCTGAAGTCCCTTCCATCCTGACAATACAGAGTACTTTCAGGAATGAATGAGAAAGTACTGGCAGCTGCTCCTGTCTCCTGGCTTAGGCCAAGGGTGGGGGAGGGAGGCAAGGGCAGCAGAGGAGGTATGGAGGGAGGAGAGGGGACAGCACAGGAGCAGAAAAGGGTCCTGGTCAGGGAGAGCCCTGGGGTCCCTCCTGGTAGGGGTGGGAGAGAGAAGGTGGTACATGGTCTTCACTGCAGCCTTCAGCCCAGGATGCTTAGGGCCCATTCTACTGGGCCCAAACCCTGCCACAGCTGCTGAGAGCTATGTGACCGAAAGCTGCTCACTCTGCCTCTCTGCCCCAGGCTGCCTGGTATGTCAAGTGGATAATATCCACCTCATGGGGCCATTGTGAACAAGAAAGGACATAGTATGTGGAAAGTGCCTGCACTAGTGCTGGCTCCATAAGCATAGGCTAACCATTACTGCCTGCTTACATCTTCTACAAGTCAGAGTGTCTGGTTGGGACTTGGTACATCCCAGGCACCGACTTTCTGGAAGTAGAGTTGCTCTCATTCTCAAAGGAAAATAGAACACAGTCTCGAGCAAAGGCAGTACATAGATCCGGGCAGCACTTTCAAGCATTGCTTTGTGGTAGCTCCGCGTTCAGTCCTGAGAGGTACACGCAGCCAAGAAACAGCCCCTGTCCTCAGGGAACAGGTGACCAGGTGATACGCAATTTCTGCAATGAACCTTTCAGTTTATAAGGCAGTTGTACAAATTTGTTCTCAATAATCCTCACTGGGGGAGGGGCGGGGGACAAGGGGGAGGGATGGCCCAAACAACGAATGCACATATGAATTAAAAAAAAAAAAAAGGTTGGAAGGAATGAGATTTAGGCCTCTTTTGCCTGTCTCCCTTTTACCACGTGACAACACAGCATTCAAGGCACCTTCTTGGAATCAGGTGGAAACTTGACTGTGGATTTCCTAACCTCTAGAACTATGATAAGTAAAATTTCACTTTGTGTAAAAACATTAATAAATAAAAACTTTTTAAAATCCTCACACAGCTCTTAGTCTTTATCCCAACTTGATAGACATTAAAAGTAAAGGCCCTTGTACCAGAGTGCAAAGTCAAAGCCTCTGACTCCTAGCCCAGAACACTACCCATTTTCCACCAGAAAGCAGGAGAAAAGTGTGCAAAATCCTTTAAACAGACCTAGATGACAACTTATGACCAGGGACCAAAGTATGGTTAGATGGGAGGAATGAGTTCTTTCCTATAGCATAGTAAGGTATTATGGTTATAATGATCTGTGGCACATTTCAAAATATCTTTAAAAAGTATAAAAGTTTTCAACATATAAAAATGTGTAATATTTGAGGAGACAGAAATGCTTATTACCCTGATTTGATACTGCACATCATACACCTGATCCAAATTATCATACTCTACCATAAAGATGCACAGATACTATGTCTCAATTAAAAATTTAAGACAATAATGGAAGAGGTTTCAGAGGCAGGCTATGATTAATTGCCAAGTGAGATCTAGAGTAGAGCTGGGGGGCTCTACTATCACTGTGGAGGATGTTGAGAGGTGGCTGAAATCTGTGGAGTTAGGTGGTGGTGTCCAATATGGCAACCACTGGAGTAAGAAGGCATAGGCTTTGAACCCATGATTTCCAGACACCCAGGTCTATGCTCTCAACCACTCCCTGTAGGCTGAGATGGAATGAGAGCAGTTCTCCCTGATGTCAGTCTCACCCCTCATTTCTTTGATGTGATTACTGAGGCCACAAGCTAGGGCTGGGGATGTAAAGAAGAACGAATGAAGTAACCCATTTGTCCACTCGACAATTTCAACACTTCTCATTTCTTGTGTACCTACTAGATATCCCACAGAGTACTACATGTTCTAGGCCGTTCAGAAGATTCCTAATCAGGCTGGGTCGTGACTTAAGTGATAGAGTACTTGCCTAGCAAAGCACAAAGCCTAGAGTTCAAACCTTGGTACAACCAGACAGAGAGAGAGAGAAAGGGAGGGAGGGAGGATCCAGCTCACCAGAAGCTTCTGGTATGACATATATACAAAACTCTCACTTTCTATACAGTATGGAGAAGGTCTCCATTCTGCGCTAGGGTTGGGGACATTGGGGACATAGCTCAGTGGCAGAGTACTTGCTTAATAAGCTACAGGTCCTCAGTTCTATCCCCACCAACAGCATACACATGCACACAAAGAGGTCTAAACATTAGTTTAGCCTCTTCTATGTTCTACAGTTTAACAAAGAGCAGCCTGCAATCATTTACTGATCACACCACACACTTGTGGGGTATCTCATGTGATCCTTGTGCATGTGATCACAAAGAAAAACAGCACAGTTCTGGACGCTCCAGCAAGTTCTGATCTTTGGAAGTCCTGTGTGATACTTGAGGCACTGTCTCAACCTCAAGACCTAGCTGGGGCTGAAGAAGAGGCAGGGAGACCAGGGATACTCAGGCTGTTCTAGGATGAGGCAAAGCTTCTACAGGGATGAATTGGGGACAGTTCACAGGGTTTCCCAGCCAGAAATAACCATCAGGTCCTTCTCAAATGGGCCTGAAAGCATGTGGGGAGCATCACGCCTACCCCAGGAAGAGTTTGGGATCAGCAGTACATTTCAGCCTCTGATTTACTTCTTATGGCAGAAATGAACTAAAATCACAATCCAAGTCCATTACCATCATTTTTAGAGGAAGAGGTAAAGAGAAAAAAGCCAGATGCTGTCTCCTCTCCTTTACGCCTCTTCCATTTGTCCTAAAACTCAAAGACTTTTCATTAAAAGGCAGTTCCCACCTGCTCCTTGGTTTTGGCCTGAGTGGCCTGCTGGGTCAGCTCCAGCCATTGGGAGACAGTGCTGGTACCTGGCTCAGTGGGGACCTTTTGAGACTTTACAGATTTCCTTGTATTCTTCATCACATGTCAATAAAAAAATAAATCATCACCCATTTTTAATAGCTGCAAAACATGTCAAAGAAGTCTGGTTAGACTTGAAATGTTTCGATTTGTTAAAATGTTGATTTTTCATTTTTTTCTCTTTGCCGCCTGAATTCCAGTGAAGCTTGAAATTGATATGGCTCTTCGGGTGATAGCAGCTACATGGGGCAGGCTAATTAGCTGCCAAACAGTACATGGTGGGGCACCTGCCCTGTCTGCTGTGCTCTAACTCAGTCCCAGCTGAGCACCTAACAGGGCCTCCGGGGCTGGGAAGAAGTCCTGTGGTCAACTGGTCAACCTGTCTCCCCAGTAACTCAGAACTTTTCAATGACAAAGCAATAATCCTTAGCACTCAAGACACATATGAGGGCTGGCAGAGTGACTCAAATGATAGAGCACCTGCCTAGCAAACATGAAGCCCCAGTACCAACACCCAAAAATAAAGATGCACATGAACTATGCATGCATGATGAAAATAAAGCAATTTATTCCTAACAGCCCAAGAATATTCAAGTGGTTCAATCCACTTGAGACCAGTAGCAATGGAACACTTACAGAATACTTGATGACCTGGAGAAAGGTTGCAAATATAATATTAAGTTAAAAAAAAAAATCCTGATCCCCAAACTGTACTGCAGCATGCTTCCGATTATATATTATTTTTAAATGTTTAGTTTTCTTGTGGTGCTGGGGAATCAAACCCAGAGCCAGACAAGTGCTCTGTTTTAAAAACTTCAGAAAATTACTGGGAAACTAAATCCAATATCCTACATTGTGGGTTGTTTTCTTTGTTTTGTTTTGGTTTTGTTTTTGCTTTTCTTTTCTTCTCAAATTGTCAACAATGAGAATACACTATTTTAATAATTCAAAAAGTCTGTTTTTCAAAATCTGAACCCTGGACTACTAGGAAGAGATTTCCATGCAGATGGGAGACTCATCTTTATTCATGTCATGGCTGGTACCCTGCCATGGGTGGCCCTTGAGCCTCCAACCCGTCCCTGTGATGGGGATACCATTTCATTCCCTCAATGCCATGTCCTAGTGTCATGTTATAAAAAGTCATGTTCTCAACTCACAGCAGGAGATTATATGTTCCTGCCAAGTAGGGCAGGGGCCTCTAGCAACCCTGGGGCTGGGTTGAGGGGTTCTCCCCCACCTCAGATGACCTTATTTCCTTATTTGATTCACAATCTACCTGAATTCATGGAATAACATAGAATACCATATGACCCTATAACCTACTTGATCCTCTGAGTGTAAGAGGTGTTTAATAAATGCTTCTTAAAACTAAGTGATAACAGTACTTTGATTTTTACCTACCCTTTCCTGAATACTGGTAATATACCAGTTATTAGAATAACCCTCCACACATTTTACCTCAAATTCTAACCTCACATACAAGGTCATAGTGTCTCTGTTTTACTGATGAAAAAGCTGAGGATTGGAGAGTTGTTGAAGTGACTTTTTAAACATCACACAACTAACCCAGATTTTAGTTATTTGCCAGATTTTTCTATGTACCATGCTCACCCTCTGCCTTTGCAACATCCTAGGTGCCCATGTGAGACAGGGTGTCCCAGTGGTGTCTGGCTATATCCATCAGAGAGCTACAG